TAATCGCACCAACTGTTGTCACCTTCTCACCAAGCTGCTTGGCAATGGCCTTGTAGCCCATTCCAGCCTTGTGTAGGTCTACAATCTTGTCCCTAACATCTTTGGAGATCTCTTTGGTCTTGGCCATGGTGGAGAGTTTGGAATCTGATTGATTGCTTCTGTGGACAGATGTCTTTTATACATGTAACAAGCTGAGATTAGGAGCACTCCCTTTAAGAGTGTGCTCCTAATCTCAGCTCGTTACCTGTATAAAAGACACCTGGGAGCCAGAAATCTTTCTGATTGAGAGGGGGTCAAATACTTATTTCCCTCATTAAAATGCAAATCAATTTATAATATTTTTGACATGATTTTTTCTGGATTTTTTTGTTGTTATTCTGTCTCTCACTGTTCAAATAAACATACCATTAAAATTATAGACTGATCATTTCTTTGTCAGTGGGCAAACGTACAAAATCAGCAGGGAATCAAATACTTTTTCCCTCACTGTAGGTGCTCGTTAACAGCACTTGCCCCAAGTGTGTTAAGGCTACACGGGAGATCTTTGTCTTCGTTATAGCACCACCGAGTCACCTACCGCTCACAGAGCCTGGGTTCTAATCCAAGTTCCAGATGACACCCGTGACAAGATAGGCAGTGGAGCAAAAATCGTCAATTAAAATAAACTCACCGCATGTCATTATCACCGCCTTCATCGGCCGTCCTGATGACAGCCGATGAAGGCGGTGATTGTCGTCCTTACCCCCCGGCACCTCTGATTAGCACGGTTGGCTACGTCCGATGCAAAAGACGTTCAATATACATACAGCCATCATATATCCACTGCTGGATGAAAAACCTCCCCCAGCTGTAACCGTCGCCTCGCGCTCTTCCGATGCCACGATCCGTATCGCTCCTGCACGCGAGCCGATCTCACCGCTCCTTGCGTCCGTGTCGGGATTCCTCCTTCGGCTGCCACCTCCTTGGATAATCTCTCGGCCACCGGCCTCCGAGCGACATTCTCTGCCCAATCCCCCAGAGATGTTAATTACCTCGCCTGGTAATACAGGAGGTCGTGGGTTTGGTATAAGGAAGCCAAACATTTATTCCCTACGGCTACGAGGCCCTCTGCCACAATGATTTGGAAATTCCACTGCTGGATCAGAACTGCCATCGGTTCCGGCTGAATGATGTGACACGGCCATTATGAGTCTCCCTGAGAGAGAGGGAGACTCCTATCTCCAGCACTTTCACCCAGAACCTTGCAAGTGGCGGCTCTGTGTCTCTTGACACGGCAATCATTGAACCCCTTGACAGAGTGAGAGACACCCAACCCTAATAGATTGAATCCAGCATCTCAGCGGCGTGAGCTGTGTCTCCGACAGAGAAACAGACCCAACCACTCCCAGAGCTTGAACCCAGGGCGGCGGTAGTGATGGCAGTGATTCTTACACAGCCTCGATGTACCTTTGACACCACCACCCCTAACATTAAGCTCGAGGGAGAGAGACCTAGCCCTCAGCACTCCTTTTCCGTGTCTCCGACGTGGCCATAATGTGTCTCTTGACGCAGCGCAAGAGACACCCAGCCCTCTGACCTAAACCCAACAAATCAACGGAGGTCCCTTGCAGCAGGGCGCCACGATGGCAAGATGTTAACAACCTCGCCGGGTTTACAGGCGGTCGTGGGACCTTTACCGGAAAAAATAAAAATACGTAGTTTTGTTTAAAAGTTGTATCTGTGTCATGGCCAACAAGACGTTGCACCGTTCAATCCGCGCGCGCGGTCACCTCCCAGTTCGAACGCGGCTGCGTCGTCATCGTGCCGCGTGGCCGTCTCCCGCTCATTCACGCAGCAGTCGCTCGTCGCATAAATAAAGGCGCGGGGAGGTGGGGGGGGGGATGACGGCGTCTGTAGGTGGCAGGGAGATCTGCCCGGCTGTCTGAAGCCGAGGATAAATCCTGCTAACAAGCAGCGGCAGCCGGGGGTACTTTTAAACGCATCGCTCGCGCGTCCATTCGCCCGCGCGTTCGAGAGCGCGTGATTGTGTGCGCGCGCGCGCGTTTGGAGCGGTGGCGCAGCGGTTAGCGCGCTGCTGCGCTACGGAACCGTGGCGACAGGAGTTCAATTCCCCGCTCAGTGACGATTATCTGAACCGGTCCCGGGCCTCCCCTAGGTCGACTCAGCCTCAAATTAGTACCTGGCGCCGTGTGTGTAACCATTGCCACTACGGAGACAAAGGCGGCCGGGCGTGGTGCCGGCCTTCATAGGTGCTCGTTAACAGCACTTGCCCTAACAGTCTGTTGAGGCTATATACGGGGGGGGGGGGGGGGGGGGGGGGGGGTCTTTGTATTTATGTGTGTGCGCGCGCGTGTGTGCGCGTGCCGATATAAGTCTTCTTAATTCAAGCCGCCTGCTCCGCCGTACCAAAGTGGCGAGATGACCTCACGATGCCCCCTGCTCTTTCATCCAAGGCGAAGCGGCCAATTTGTCGCCGAGAAACGCGGCCGTTTTTTGAGAAGGGGGGGGGGACCATAGCTAATGATGGGGGGGGGGGGGCTCGCTTTGGGGGTCAACGAGACGAGTTGACGGTTGACCTCACACCTCCATCAACCCCCCCCACCCCACCCCCTTGCCCCCACCCACTCCCACCCCAACCCTCACCCCTAACCCTTCCCGGACGGACACCCACAAATCACACGCGCGCATCACAGAGATCCGTCCGACTCCCTCCATCCTCGGTGGCCCCCTTCCTCCTCCGGCCTCCTGCCTCCTTCCCCGCCGTTTAGCCCGGCTGACTCTTGCGGGGCAACTGCTGCTCGCGATCGCCTATTAAGGGCCGGTTGGTGCGAACGCTGGCGGAGCAGGGTGGAGTGGCTGGTAAAAGTAAAACAAAAAATACACGAAACTCGCGCCCGGCCACCTTTGTCTCCTCGGTAATGATGCAGACGTGTAAACCAGTCTATTTGGAGGTGCAGGTTGGGGTTGGTGGTTCATACCAAGATGGGGATGAAATGTGTTGATCTGTATGTGTGTGTGTTGGGGGAGCGGTGGTGCAGCGGTTAGCGCGCTGCGTTCCAAACCCGGTGACTAGAGTTTTTTTCCTACTCACGGCAAAACCCAGTGGCGACTATCTAAACCGGTCTTGGGCCTCTCCTAGGTCGACTCAGTCTCAAATGAGTACCTGGTGCAGTGTAAAAAACATCGCTAGTGGGGAGACAAAGACGCTCGGGCGTGATGCTTGCAACTCCACCACCTAGTGTGCCGTGTCGGCCTTCATAGGTGCTCTCTAACAGCACTTGTCCCAACAGTCTGTTAAGGCAACACGGGAGATATTTGTCTTTGAATGCTTATCCGTTGTAAGCAAAGCAAGCAAGACCCTCCTGAAAAATAACCTTGAGACTCAAGCGAAGATTTGCTGGTTACAAAAATAAATAAATTAGTCGCCATCATCAACAGCCATGATTTATCCACTGCTGGATGAAGGCCTCCACGAGGGACATCATCACGGTTCCGTGACACTACGTTCCACCTCGCGCCTGCACACTAGCCGACTCCAGCACTCCACAATCCGATTATCATGGGTCGGCTACGTACGGTGCGAAAGAAGTTCACTATATATCATATAATCTTGGGTGTGTTCCCAATTATAAGAATTAGAATGTTGAGCTGCGTGGAGCTATTGCACATGAGAATGTCTCCTTTACAATCTATATTTTGTATGTTATAGTTCAATTCCTCGCCTAGCACGTTGAGTAAATCAATCACCCCTCTAGGGTCGGTGATATAAGTACCACTCTTTTGGGTATAAGTCAACAGTGGTCGTCACCATATGGATGGTCTCCCTCCGACATTGCTATTTCTGGCTCGAGATTAAATGCTGCTCGATCGCTCGCTTGAGCTCAAAAAAATATCACCCCGTAATAGTTTAGACGCCAATTTACCACCGGTTATGTTCACCTTGCACAGGATTCTATGCTTGGAGTCAGATTTTTTTTTGGTCAGTGCATTGCACCAACCACAAACCACTTTTCACACAGCCAGTGAACAGCTGGTGCTGATGCCGCTACTGCTGCGTTTGCCGATTATGTTTCTGCTCCTCGTTCTGCTTCTGTTGACGCTTCTCATGCAGTGCGTCACCGGTGCTCCCACCGTATGGTGGTGGTTCATGCAAACTTATTTCGCACCGCACGTAGCCAACCGCAATAATCGGAGGTGCGATTATCACGGTTGGCTTCTCATGCCCGCACTGCTTCTTTACCTCCCCTTCCCTCCCTCTGCTCCATCATCCCAATGCTCCTTCCTGCGCCTCTTGCAGCAGCAGTTGCTGCTGCTGCTGCTGGGACGCTGCGCGTGAAGTTAACTCGGGGTGTAATTGCCCGGCTGGGGGGCTCACGAACCTCCACCACCCCCATCTCCCCCAAGCCCCCCCCCCACTGCCCTCCACTGCGTCAAAGCCGATTGAAAAATGAAAGCGGCGCGGCGCGTCAAGCGTGATTTATTGCCCGAGCGCGCCGCGTTCACGTGCGGGAGCGGAGGTGGTGGGAGATGGGGGGGGGGGTAGGCGAGGGGGAGTAAGGGCGGGGTGGGGGGTGCCCCCCCCCCCCCCCACTGACTCCCTCCCACTCCCCCCCATCTCGCTGGATTGATGTTGGTTTTGGGCAGAATTCGCACCGCAATTAGTTATGCGGCTCCGTCAAATTGTATCTATCAATCTGCGGTAATGGGAGGAGTTTTTTCGCAGCGGGCTGTTGTGGGTGCGGGGAGGGCCCGGTGTTGGTGTGGGAGAAAAAAATGTTTGGGGGGGGGGGGGGGTGGTGGCGAGTTTTTTTTTTGCCGGAGCCACGCTCGCCGTGACGCGAGCAAGGCCCGCGACCGGAGGGGCCGCGTCGTTGTCCCGATTCCGGCAACGTCGTCGTCGTCCCGTTTCTGACAGCGTCGTCGTCGTCCCGTTTCCGGCAACGTCGTCGTCGTCCCGTTTCCGGCAGCGTCGTCGTCGTCGTAGTCACGCAGTAGGAAACCGTTCATCGCGTTTAATTCGGTTCCTTAAAAACGTTTCGTTTCCCTGACGGGATATAGGAAATTGCAAAACTGCGGCAATTATTTTATTTTGTACACAATCTTAATAAAAGTTCGTATCTATTTCAAACAAAATACCGTCACCTGTTAAATTAGCGCTTTTTAAAAAAAACGTTCTCCGGCATAACTGACCACACAGTGATGATGCGACGTCGTCATCTGACAGCAACCCTGCGTTGAGGGTGAAATGTATATTCTGAAGTAAGAACCATTGGAAAACCCATAGCAGGTTAATGCCGAGTGAACTGCAGTTTACCGACTTTTAAGCTATCTTCTTGAACTACTTGGAGGCCTGCACGTCCGTTGGACGTGACCCATCTTTCCACGCCAGCCAGCAAAACTTTTTTTTATAATATAGCACGGTGATACAATTATACAGTTAAGGAAAATTGATATTACGACAAATCATGAGATCGTGAAATGTAACATTGTATTAAAATCGTATGACAAATGACGTTGCAGTTAACCCTAGGTGGCACAACAGACTAGCAATCCAGTTGTTGCCAGTTTCGATTCCATCTCCCAGTGCGGCAGTTTAAACAATGAACGTGTCTTTTTATTTTAAAATCCCCCTCCATCGATGTCCACCAATCAGTATGAAATGGCCGGGTCGCGTGTGGTGGGGTAAAGTGTGGGTACTCCCACCTCTTCTAAGGCGTCCGGCCAGCATGCAAGAGTAGGCCAAGATCTAACCTATATAATCTGGAGGGGGTGCTCTCTATTCCTGTTCATGGTTAACATCGATGGCGAGTGATATCTGAAATGGTCCTGCACTGACCAGCGTGGTAAAGTATGGTCAAAACCCTCATGACCAATGTGGTGACACGGCATGGGGAGGCTTTCATACTGCAATGAATTGAGGAAAGGGACTGTGAGTTTGTTTTAATGAACTCAATCTCCTAACCTGTTACATCTCGTCAAAGGGCATTGCCCATCGCACAAACTCCGGTCATCCTCACAGCGGCTTGTGGCTTGCCATCGAACAAAGATGGTCACTGCATCGCGTGATTTCAGACGTGTTTCTGCGGCCATCTGGAATGCTATTCCGATATTAACAAGCCACTGGAGTTGTGCACTTTGAAATCTAGATTGAAAACTAATTCCCATACAACTGCTTTTTGTGTTTAGTTTGTTGTCCTTCTCTCGCACCTCCGATTAGCACGGTTGGCTACATACGATGCAAAATAATTCAACGTACATACGTTCCACTATGTGCACTTGAATAGTGCTAAAAGTCCATCCTACCACGGGAAAAACTCAGCGACGATGCTCTCTAATAAACAATTAGCGAAATAAACGTAACAGATTGGTTGACCAACACCTCCATTACTTTCGATCTGTAGCGTCCGATTGTCAAACTGTCGGACCGGTGGTGGTGGTGGTGGTAAAGGTGGGGTTCAGTTCACAGTTACGTTCTCTTTTTGCACCGCGGCTGTACCGAAAAATCTACAGCAAGGAAAAAATAAAAGCGATGCAGAGAGTGTTTCGTAGCAATCTCAGTAGTTGGGTCAGTCCGTGCGGCAGTACACATTTTCATTTCTCAAGGTCAAGGGTCACCCAGCCAATTCCGTTGCCCTCTGACCTTTCAATGAAGACCACGTTTATCAATATTTGCTCATTTCTGTCGAAGCCTACACCCACACACGTGCAGTCCATTAATTTATACATTCACGTGTTCCTTGTGGTTTCAGTGGGGAGTAGTGCTGTAATGATGGTCAGCAATCTGCACTACAGACGTCGAGGTCCAAGTTCAACTCCTGGCCATGGCTAACATCAATCGTGAAAACAGCACTGGTCATGAGCTTCTCCGCACCTCCAATTAGCACGGTTGGCTATGTACGGTGCGGAAGAAGTTCAACAATCATACATTCTCCTGGTGCAGGGGGTAAATATCAGCACTGTGGAGACTATGGTAATTCATATTTTATTTTACTGTTTGTGTATTTTGCATGTGTTCACGTTCTATGCATGATTTAAACTTAAGTGTCAAGTTGTGTTGCCATCACGGACTCATCACTATTGAAGAAAATTGGCCACATTGATTTGCGTATTGTCCAAAACTTGGGAACACACGAATCAGTGGTAAATCGACGTCGCAGATACAAAGACGCGTCTTGCCCCAACAGGTACCCCGTCGGCTTCCGCACTTCCAGCAGTTCATCGCTTCTCAAAACAATCTCGTGTTGGATACTGATGGATATTGAGGGACTGTGTTTGTTGTCTTGCTGTGGTCTGCAATTATTCCTTGCTGTTGTTTTGCTGTCTTGTCAAAGCTTGGGAATTGGTGTATTTATGCAATTTGAACTTGTATACTTTATCTATTTTATATATTTATTTATTGGTGATTTGCTTACCTTTCCTATACATTGAACTCCTATTGTGTTTTGCACTGTTTGTTGTTGTAACGTTCTGACCTGCCCCTACTGGACATCTGTGAAAAAGAGCTTCATAGCTGATCGGATTTCTCCAGGAATAAATATTCTTCTCTCCGCAAAGACGCTGCACGAATCCGCAAGATGTTAAATCCCTCTCCTGGTAAACAGGAGGTTGTGGGTTCGATCCCGAACGACCTTGACGCCTACAAATTCGGAGCTTGCATATTTCTCCCTGTGGCCGTGTGGATTTTTCTCCAGGTCCTCCGCTTTTTTCCTTCGCATTCAGAATCAACGTCACGCGTTTAAAGTATTTGGCTGCTGTAAATGTCCACACGATAAGCCACTTTGTTGAGCCATCATTTGTGACAGGCAGGTCGCTTCTTAAAAACAGCGATACGAGTCAGCGGGCCTTAACTGGTAAAATTAAAAATTGTTTAGTGTTTTTTTTTTTTTGAGTCGATTCCTCAAGGAGCATTTTATTCCGTCTCAGACGCTCAGCTTGCCCGTAGCGGCAGCCGTCTTTTCGTCAGAACCTCTGGCGGCGCGGTCTCCCTCCATCGCAGGGCGAACTCCTCGTCCGCCCGCGTCTGTCCTCGACGTCTCCGCGGCGACCCCGGCGAGAGGCGTCCTGGGGTCTGGAGGGCCGTGTCGACCGCGGGGGCCCGGGGAGCCTCGCGGTCGGCCGGGCGGGAGGCCCGGCGTGGAACAGAGGGGCCCTGCGCGGGGGGGGAGGCCGCGCCGCGTCCGCCACGAGCGCCGCCGTTCATCCCTGCGCTCGAGCCTCCGCATGAGCAGCAGCTGCTGGCGCATCAGCGCCACCTGCTCGCGCATCAGCAGCACCAGCTCCTGCTGCAGGGACGCGGACGCGTGGCCACTGCGCGCTCGCACGCCTGCGCACGCACAAGTACGCACAAGCGCAAAAACAAAGATTCCCCTGTAAAGCCTTAACAGACTGTAGGGGAAAGTGCTGTTCGCGAGCACCTATGAAGGCCGGCATGGAACACGAGGGAGTGGGTAGCCAACACCACGCCTTTGTCTCCCCAGTGGCGATGTTTAAACACAGCACTATGTTTCTCATTTGAGGCCGAGTCGACCTAGGGGAGGCCCAGGGCCGGTTCAGATAATCGTCACCGGTGTTGGCCGTGAGCCGGAATCGAACTCAGGTCGACGGATTCGTAGAGCAGTGCACTAACCACTGCGCCACCGCACCCCGCACAGACGGAAACACACAACGCGCGCACGCTCGTTCACAAGTCCGTACGTTTGCCGTTACCCCCATGCAGTCCGTCCTCCCAGGGTGGTGGGGGGGTCGCGGCAAGGTCACGACCCCTGACCCGCGTGCTTTCTCTCCGCAGCAGCCGCCCGCTTCTGTGGTGTCGCTGCTGCTGTGACGACGACGAGGTGGTGGAATAGAAGCCATCCCTGGCGGATGCATGGGCTCCACCCCTGGCTTTGACATCCACCTCCTCCTCTGCCAGCTCCACCTTGACGGACACTGCGAACTCTGCCTCCTGAGGAGTCGCCTCCTCCTTCAGCTGCCGTCAAGAGGTGCGCCGCACAGAGGGAGCGGGTAGTTAGCCCTTCGATACACGTGTGTGACAGCATGCCACGCAGTAGTAGTACATCATCATTACCACTAGCCCTGGCATTAGCCCACATGCACAGCGGTGGTGGGAATAAGGAGTGGGGGAGAGGGGGCGATGGGGTGGATAGCCCCAAGACCCAGAAAGTATTTTGTTATCAGAGAATAGACATTGCATGTGGTTTTATTAACGTAGGGGTCCGATTTAAAAGGCTTGTAATTTCAGGATCGCCTCCTCCTGCCCACCCGTCCACCCTCGCCCCCACCCCTCCCCTTGGGATGTTTCCAGATCCGCCACCGACGCGTAGCAGCTCCCAACGGCCTTGCGACAAAGTGTGATGGCCGACTGGCCTAATGGCGAACAAACAAAGACGTTAAATCACAGCGGTGGTCGCGCTCTTGGCTCAAGAGGCTCGTAATGGCCAAGTACGTGCAAGAAGCCAAGTGGGCACCGCTGACATCACAACTCCGGGTCAATACGATGATTCGGCGACCCGTGATTAAACTAACACTAAAGATTTTTTTTATTTTACCAGGTAAGGCCCACTGAGCTATAACAACTATTTTTCAAAAGCGACCTGGCCACGAATGATAGCTCGAAGAAGTGGCTTATCATCATGAGGAAATGTATAGCAGTTAAATACTCTTGATTCTAAATGTGGAGGGGAAAACCAGACGACCAAGAGAAAAATCCACATGACCACGGGGAGAGAGACACACAAACTCAAAATATACAGGCGTCAGGGTCGGGATTTAACCCACGACCTCCCGTATACTGGGCGAGATGGTTAGAATCTCGCCACCGCAGCACCCTTATTAAACCGTTTTTTTTCCAGCAGTAGCGAGTTGATGGTCTCCAATTGGCTGCAAATACAAAACCGTTTCGGATTCATACAGCGCGGCTAAAACGCAAGCGCGTCTCAAGACTACGTCCCCAGTGGCTCGGAGGTCAGAGCTGTGAGCTGGCACCGGCAGAGGAGCCGAACTGGGATCGGCGCAACCACCCACGGTTTAAGCGGGGGCCCCTCAAGTGCCACGGGTTTAAGGTCTCAGGCCAGTCATTGATGACCGTGCAAAAACAGCCGATTGTGAAACATTCGGTTCCTTCTTCATTCATCTTGGCCGAAGTCCAATTTTGACAATTGTTGAGGTATGAACAGGGCGCCTGAGTGAAGTGCGCCCCCTACTGTGGAAATAATGCAAACGCAGCTTGAAGGATTTCTTGGGAGTTCCGTGACAATGTTCATTTACACTGTGGGAATCCGATGGGATATGAAGCTCTTGTTTCACAGATGTCCAGTAGGGACGGATTCAGAACGTTACAACAAACAGTTACAAAAACACGATAGGAGCGCAAAGTATAGGCAAGGTAAACAATTCTAGCTTTAAAGCTTTCGTGACTGCAAGGATCCATACTCTTTGGTTCTATTCGGTAAAGTCACGTAGGTAAATAATAAAACAACAATAATCACACTATTGTTGTTTTATTATTTACCTACGTGACTTTACCGAATAGAACCAAAAAGGTAAACAAATCACTTTAAAACATATATACAAATAAAACTATTTTTTTTCACCAGGTAAATTACAAATGTATGTATGTTGAACTTCTTTCGCACCGTACGTAGCCAACCATGCTAATCAGAGGTGCGAGAGAAGGACAACAAACTATGGGTCTCTGCGTGAACCTATGTCTCCTCCCCCCCCCGGGATTTTGTCTGACACACGGGCCAATCGATTCCTTTCCTCGTGACACGATGCCGATGGCATGATAAGAAAAGTTTCGGGGGTAGAGAGGGGGTGGAAAATTTGGGAAAAGTTGGAGAAAGGAACAAAAATCACTAAGTTCAGCTAAATTATACCTTGGAGAATTAAGAAAAAATAAGCTCAGATTACCTCCTGCATCATCAGCAGTTCTCCTGCTGCGTTTGTCTCATCTGATGACGGTTGCTTGTGTTCCGATCGAAACAGTCGTGAACGTTTGTCTGTGGCAGCACCCTTCTGAGTGCAGATGAAATAAACAGTAACTCGAATGACTCTGCGATATACGTCTGGCCGTAGGCCAGTCTCTTAACATGCACAGTGTGACGCAACTGCCCTGCGATAATTCCAACGTTATGCCAAGAGCACAGCTATTGATATTAGAATTGCGTACAACACGACCAAAAATAAAGCACGCGTGGCAAGTTGATGGATGGGTGTAAGCCAGTCCATCCAATGGTTGTACGCAAAAAAAAAAACGTGTGTAACGTTTCAAGTCGGGTCAAGCCAATATGGACGTCAAAATCTCGTCAAAATCCAAACTCTCCCAGACGTGTTTTCCGGCCGCGCCGAGTGTTGTTCGACACAATGTCCGGCGTTTTGCTCCACGTGCCGGGAGACTACCGAAGACGCTCGCCGGTACAACGTGAACACACTTCGGAGAGCTATGCGGCACAACGGTGACAACCTACTCGCTCGTGTCAAGGAAGCACATTTCAATTATCTTCACTTACCCCGGGTGCGTAAACCACGCAGACAGGCGTTCCCGAATTTTCCTCTTGTTGCTGCTGCTGTCTGGCCTCTATCCCCACTTCTACGTCCTCCTCCTCCTCCTCCTCCTCCATCACCAGCAGCTCCACCTTCACCGCTGGACAAACCTCCTCCTCCTCCTTCAGTGGCTGTGGCTGCCGGGGGCACGGCACGCATCAGAAATCACTCGGGGCCCGGCTGAGAGATCTTCATCTCTCGCAGAGCGTGACCCACAACCCACGATCGCATGGCGCTTCCAGTCTAAACTAAATTAAAACTAGTTTTTATTTTACCAGGTAAGGCCCACAGAGCTATATAGCTATTTTTTCAGAAGCGACCTGCCCACAAATGATAGCTCAACGAAGTGGCTTATCACGTGGAAATGAACAGCAGCCTAATACTCTAAACGCTTCTTGATTCTAAATGTGGAGGGAAAAACCGGAAGACCAGGAGACAAATGCACACGACCACGGAGAGATAGAAATGCACGTCCGATAAGCGTGGTTGGTTACGTACAGTGCGGAAGAAGTTCAACAGACATGCAAACTCCAAATGTACAAACATCAGGGTTGGGATCGAACTCACGGCCCCCTGTATACCAGGCGAGGTAGTTAACATCTCACCACCGTGGCGAGATCCAAACTGGGCAACCCCAACAGATCGGAGCTTTTTTGTTTCGTTCATCACCGTCATTGAGCATAGTTCCCTGGGCAAAAAGAGCAGCAGCCGCAACAGTAGGAGAGACAGCTGGAGGATTCCTGACATTATTGTCCAGTAAGAAGACCTCCCCATACGAAGAAGAAGCATGGACATTGACAAAGAAAATGGAAAAAATGCTTAGAGGAGCTGTTGGCTACGTATGGTGCGAAAGAGGTTTAACATACAACAACAACCGCCATTCGCCACTAAGTGGCGGTGACGTCACCACGACGCTTGTGCCAGGCTATGTGCACCCTGAGGCCACGTGAAGTGTCGAACACCCGCTGGCAGGAGGTCATGGGGCAGACCCAGGTGCCACGGGTCGACTGACTGAGATGACTGGCTGATGCACCACCTGTGCCCCCTACTGTGGCAACCTGCTGTGCTTTAGCCACCCGGCGCTCCGCTCGTTGTTGTGAGCGTCGCTCCTCCGCCCTCCGTTGTTGTTGGAGGGCGACTGCCTCCAACTGCCCAGTAGCGTCCCTTCACGAGCCTCCTCCACAGAGGCCGATCTTGACACCGCTGGTACCAGTCATCGGCAAGTCCACTCAGCTCCACGTCCTCCTGTACCACATCACTCCATCTCTTCTCTAGCCCGTGCCGCGCCCGCTTAGCCCCCTCAATCCGGCCGAACAAAAGCTGTTTCGGCATGCGGTGGCTGGGCATGCGGGCTACATGACCCAGCCATCGCAGCCTTCTCCGCCGGAGGAGCTCACCGATGGGACCTTGCCCAGATCTTTCAAGGATTTGTGAGCTCCTCACACAATCCAGTCTGGTTAAACCCAGGATGGATCGTAGACAGGCCAGCCTAAATGTTTCTAACCGGCGAAGATGTTCCATTAGGGGGGTCCACGTTTCGCAAGCGTAGAGAAGGGAGGGAATGACCGTGGCCGAGAAGACCTGAAGCTTAGTGGGGAGCGACAGACCAGGAAGCTTCCACACAGCGTTACGCAACCGATGAAAAGATATTGCCGCTCGACTGATTCGGAGTGAGACCTCTGCTGTTAAACTGGAGCCAGTCCTAAGCACACTGCCCAGGTATAGGAAACTCTCCACTCTCTCCACAACTGCCCCATCACCGATCGGGAGTTGTGGGGGTGGAGTGTCCGATGGTACAAAATACCCAGGCAGGTGCTTAGTTTTGGTGGGGCTGATGGTAAGGCCCCACACCTCTTAGTGGCACGCTCCAGTCTCAGCAGCAGCGTCTCCATACATACAACATACATACCTACATACGAGCCAGTGCATAAAGAGGCGTGGAGAGATGCACGCTTGGAATGAGACCGAGCGTCCGGCTATCTCGTGTACAACTAAAAATAACTGCTGCTGGTCGCTGGCTGTTGTGACTGTGGCTCCAGGTGGTGCCTGTTTGGTTGTGCCGTCACCTGCGGGCGTTCGTCTTCGTGCAGGTGTCGTTGCAGCGCCACCTTTCCCGCTTCTTCACCTCCGCCTCCCGCCAATGGCGAAGCTGCCAAAATGACAACTGATGAGCAGCAAGCTAGGGGGTGCGGTCGCAGTTACAGTCAGACGAGCACACGTCTTGCAAGGTCAAGCATGCCACTTCGCAAACCCTCCATTGGGCCCGCGTGGCGTGGGCTGTGCCTCCCCACTATACAGGCACCCGGCACGCTTAAGAGATTTGACAGCGGATTTGATTGTAGGCCGTTAATCCGTTACCGAGATTTTACCTGGGTTTCAAAATTTTCACTTTACAATGCGAAGTGAATTTTGGCGACGTGACGATTTTCGCGATATCAGTTCTGTATCACTTTGTAAGTGTTTATCACAATTTCTTTGTGGCTGACGGGATGTGTACAATTTTTATTTCATCAAAACAATAATTTTTTACTTACATTTTTTATATAGCTATAATGTATGCCAATTGCATAAAAAAATTACAATTTATAACAAGCAGTTTTCGCGTAGGGTGGCGAAAAACCACAAGCAGCCAGGGCTGGCGTCAAAAAATTGCCCAAGCTCTGTGCTCCTACATTGGAATATTCGAAACAGACAGACATGGGAAGGGTGGTGGGAGGCATTGTATGCTTCTCTATATTGTGACTGCTCTTTTACCCAGCGGCTTTCACAGGCCGCCTCTCGCGGCCTCACCGGTTGCGGACGACCCGTGTGCCGGGGCGTCGGTGGATGGAGCGCGAGGACGGCGGAGCGGCCCGGTGGGAGGAGGCCCCTCCAGCGGTGGCAGAGGTAGAGCAGGAGAAGAGGGCCCTGTGACCGTGCTGGGCTCCAGCAGTCGCTGCATGCCCTTCATAAACCGGAACGTCATCTGGACTCCTGCAACGTCGGGCGGTAAACGTCATGCGGTGGCGGCGGCATGCATGCCAACCCTGCCGACAGCGGGTGGGGCAAAGCGTGGGTACGGTCATACCTGCCCTCTCGCCACTAACCCGCGTTATAGCAAGCGCCATGTGCGTTCTCACCGCATACGTGTCAACCTTATCGGTTAAAGTACGTAGATGCCATTTCTTTTTCTATTAAGCCATCAACAACTTTGCAAGCAGCTGGGATTTAAACCGAATCCCCCCTCCGGTCTTCACACAGCCACTGCTCCACGCACCGGAGGGCGGGGGGGGGGGGCCCAACACGGCCACGCCACCGCCACTCACCAGCACGCCACCGCCACTGCCACTCACCGGCACACCGCTGCCACACCACTCACCGGCACGCCACTGCCACTCACCAGCACACCGCCGCTCACTGGCACAGCACGGCCACTCACCAGCATGCCACCACCGTGACTCACGGGCACGACCACCGCCACGCCGCTGACACTCACCGGCCGCCGCCGCAGCCTTCTGCTTGTGGTAGAGGCTCTTGAGCGTCTTCCAGCGGTAGCGGATCTGCTGGATGGGGCGGAAGAAGCCGCGGCGCGCCATCTGCATGCGCGCCACCTCGAAGATGTGCGCGTTGCGCTGGCGCTTGGCGTCCAGCTGGGACACGACGCCCATGCCCTCGATGATGGAAAGCAGCGCCAGCGTCTCCATGTCCGACCAGTACACGTAGCGCCCGCACGGCTGCTGCTGCTGCTGCTGCTGCTGCTGCGACGATGCCATCGTGATCCGGTTACAGTTTCCGTCCCAGGCGTTTGTTTCGGCCTTCATTTGTTGCACTTTTCCCGTTTCGGTCTTGTTTTTTTTCTTCCTTCCAGTTTCAATGTTTCATTCTCACCAGCTTTTACGTGTTGTTGTTGTTGTTCAGAAAAACGGAACCAACCGGAAAGAGAGGAAGAGCTCACAGAGAACGGCTTGACGACATAAGAGATTAGTGCCAGGAGATTGTCCCACTACCTAAGCATATTGGCACGAGAGGAAAGTCGAAACAAATGACAAAATGTGCAGTGGACACCTATGGGCTATCTGCCCATGGATGGTGATGATGATGGTGGTGGTGACCAGCTTCCATTCGATGTGTCGAATCAATTGGAGTTTTTTTTTTATTTCATTTACAGTTCTTTCAGTTTTAGTTTTGTTCTGGTTTAGGGTGACCGACAGCTTGACGGTGTTTGTTTCCGTGCGGTGGATGTCAATGCAGTCTCACTGTGATTTTAAAGTCTTTTTTTTACCATTAGCAAAGCTTCAAACTTGTGTCAGACACAACCAAGATTGGCACCTGAAAGAGCTGCCTTTGTCAGTTCTACTGCTGCCTCAATTTCCCCCGTGGTTCTTGCGGCTTTTGTTGGCCAGTGTGAAAATCGGCTTTGCTCATGCTTTGGGCAGTTTGTGGAGGAACTGACATTTGACATCAAAGACCTAATTTTCGTTGCTTCAGTAAAGACTTTGTCTTTTTTTAAGGCACAAATGCTATGTGATAAATGACTACAAGTAAAATTGAAAATTATGGTTAATCGTCCATGTGAAAATAGACTTACAATAGAGTTTCCCTTGCAAGTGAGAAATATCCGTTGTACTCGGTTAAATAAAGTATATTGCTTACAGGATAATTAATCTCGATGTGCCCTCTCCTGGTTCAAGGGGACCTCAATGGGCTACCATCTTGTTAAAGGCCACGGAATTTAAATGTTAGGGTGTTTAGTGTACCACATTACCCTTTTTTTATTCAGTGGAGCAAATATTTCAGGGTTTTTTTTTCTGATAAACTTATTATCTATACTAAATTCGGCGTTTATGAGCACTCAGCCTCCCTAGAAAATTGCTCATAAAAGCCCTCTCGACCTCCTGTTAGGCCAAAAAAATCAATCTAAATTCCTTGCACACCTACAGGGCCCACACATTGTCAGCCCTTGCAATATTCCTACCCAGGCCTTGGCTCATAATGGCAACAACAAAAACCAGCCCGAGTAGATTAAACTGGCTTTGAGCTGTGGACTTCTAAAATGTATATTCGCCGCCCAGCAATATATGGCTAGAGAGTGTGAGGTTTTACAGGCGAGACATCGCTGCCATATAGGCAACAGAGGGCAGTGCCATCCATCGCTGTGCTCTACTTCTATATTGCCACATCGACGCTCAATCCCTCCCCAGCTTTAGCAAAATCCGGCCTGGCTCCGTGTGGTCAATAATAAACAACAATTATTTACGTTTATAAGGCGGATTTCATTCGTAGACCCCCCAATACGCCACTGTCCAGGAAACAAAACAGAAGCAGCTGGGAAAACGGGCAGAACTGAGGCGGGGTTAAAGGCCAGATTGAAGAGGCGAGTTTGCAAGACGGCACTTAAATATAGCCTACGACTCCGGTCGCCTTATTAGCGATGCGCGTTTCCGAAGCCGAGGCTGGGAAGCCGCGCTGGCAAAAGCCCGGGGTCACTCCCGGTGAAGTATGGTCAAATCACCCCACACGCGAGCGTAAGGAGGAGGCCCTTAACCCAGCAGAGGACTTACCACAAGCGACGAGTTGCACTCCCACGGCAAGCCGGGCGAGACGCACGCACAGAGCGTGGGCCTCCTCGCATTAACACGTGGGCTACAGCAACAACCACAACAACCCCTACGTCGCCTCACTTGCTTCGGCTTTCTATGGAGTCAGATGCATCGACAAACCCCTCCCAGCATACCCACCAACAACAGTGACCTGCTCAGAGGCGGTGACGTCACCGCAGCGGCTGTGCCAGGCCAAGTGCACTTCGAGGCCACGTGAAGTTGTCGAAGGACCGCTGGCAGGAGGTCACTGGACAGCCCCAGCAGGTGCCACGGGTTGACCGACTGAGGCGACTGGGCAGATGCACCACCTCCTCCACCTCCTCCTCCCCACCCACCCCACCGCCCTACTGCACCAACTTTCTGCGATTTTATCCCGCCCGGCGCTCCGCTCGTTGTTGTGAGCGTCGCCTCCTCCTCTTGCCCTCTCCCCCAACTGCACGGCAGCGTCCTTCACGAGCCTCCTCGTCCGCAGAGGCAGATCTTGAAACCGCTGCTGGTACCGGTCATCGGCAAGTACCACATCAGTACCGGTACATACAAAACGTTACACATTTTGAAATTAACATTACCGTGCACAAGCACACGTTCTACGGACGGTAGTTATACCACACGGGGCTTACACTCGCAAGGGACCGGACCGTGCCGCCGTTGTGTTTGCACATCAACACAACGCAATTCGCCGTCAAGATTGTGAACTGTACCTATGTACTGTGCTGTATGAACCTTGTTACAAATGTGAGGAAAGACATCGTCGCTTACGTCGCCACCGCTCGCGCAAAACGTCGCGATTTGAGGGGAGGGGGAGGGGACGGCGGGTGTGGGGGGGAGGGGGATTTCCCCCCTCACAAAAATAACGTTCGCGCGACGTTCGCACGACGTTCGCGCAACAAATGGCTCCACTTTGACGGCGGCGGCGGCGACGAAGAGGTGGTGTGGTGACGTCACGCGCGTCGATGAATTGCAAGCTCCCCTCGCGAGGTAATCCAAAAAACTAAAATCCCGGAGCTGATTACGACCGAGCACGGAGCGGATTGCGCCTACGTACGCGTCGTCACGCGAGGTCTGTAGTGAGAGTCCGGATCCGTTTGTGGGGGGGAGGGGTTTGCTCCGCGCCGGGGTTTGCTTGAAACAACAGCAGCTGTATCTGTCGACGTTGTGGGCGGTGCCATTCACAAGCGCGGGGAGGGGGCGGGCGAATAGAAAGGGCGAGGAGGGGGAACCCGGAAGCGATGCACTTTATTGTTGTTATCACTTGCAGTGTTCAGTTTATTTATTTTGGTATAGCCCTGTGAGCCGTTCGGCTCTTGAAACAAAAACACGAACAAGAAAAAGATCTTAAAGTGACTGTGTGTGTGACTGTGCGAACAGAAAATCCATGAAATAAAAACAGCAAAAAATATTCCTGAAAAAAAGCACGGTACACCAACGCTGTGTGCAAAAAAAAAATCCCAGTGGGATGCAAGTCAAACAACAATCACAATAAAAAAAAATTATGTGACGTCACATTTCTCGGGGGGTGTAAATGATGAAGACCGCTTGTGTTGCGATCGAAACGTCGTGGGGTTTTTTAATTTTATTTCCAATTAAATGTTATTTTTTTATTTTCTATCTCCGTTACTTTACCGAAAGAACCAACCTTGTGTATTTACACAACCTGGACAATTAGAAATGTACCATCATTACTAATCATTCACCACTATAGTTTTGTATTAAAATATCAGACAGCGTCTGAGCCTTTCCTCACTTGCAATGAAACTGTGGTAAAAGTATTTACACAACGTGGACAATTAGAAATTCACTATTACTAATTATTCACCACCGGGTTTGTATTCAAATAGCAGACAGCGTTTAGGGAATTCTCACTTGCAGTGAAACTCTGGTAAATGTATTTACACAACGTGGACAATTATAAATTCAACATTAGAAATTATTCACTATAGTTTTGTATTCAAATAGCAGCGCTTGGGGCCATAACACTTATCCAGCTGTACGTAAGGATGTACACGTGTACGGTACATGTACATGATGTACCTGACATCACATTTTCCACACTTTGCTCAGTTTCTTCACAAACTGCCCAAAGCAATTAGCAGGGACAATTTTCACACGCCCCAAACAAAGCCCGCAAAAACCCACGGGGGCAATTGAGGCAACCCTTCGTTTGCGTCTGACACAAGTTTGAAGCTTTGCTAATGGTACCAAAAAAAACACAGGTTTAAAATCACGGTCAGACTACATTGACCATTTAAATCTGCCCCTATCGGTTTTCCAAACGCACAACACAGGAAATTTGTCGCGGCGCCGCATTACTGTATCACTCCGCTCAGCTCAAGAAAGTAGTTCGTCGTCGACCGCTCAGAAACCGCGTCACAACGATGCGCGTTCCACGTTGTCGTGCAAAGTAGTCCCTCGTGGAAGAACCGCGTTCTAGTGCGACCGTATAGTGCGCTTGACAGTACGTCTTTCTGGACTATTTGTTCAGTTGTCTGTGGAGTCTTAGCGCTGTGATTATCTGCTTACTGTGCGAGGTGTAAAGATGTAAAATGTTAATGTATTACAGTATATTCATTTTCATGGGTAATGGCGAACGTAAATAAGATAAAGTTGTACAGCATCGTGAAAAAACTAACAATTGTCGAAAGAGTAACTTTACCGTCAAGGCGCGTGGTCTTTTTCTTCTCACACAGCTTAAAGGTCGTGATCTAAGCGTGGCTTCTTCCACTCCAGCGCTAATTCCTTTGTCAAGGGGTACCTCTGCGGATGTGTATACTTTAACTTAGCTATTTCAATGAGCCATTTCAATGCTAAATTATATGCTAATTCCTTTGTCAAGCAGCGCTAATTCCTTTGTCAAGGGGTACCTCTGCGGATGTGTAAACTTTAACTTAGCTATTTCAATGAGCCATTTCAATGCTAAATTATATGCTAATTCCTTTGTCAAGGCGCGTGGTCTTTTTCTTCTCACACAGCTTAAAGGTCGTGATCTAAGCGTGGCTTCTTCCACTCCAGCGCTGTCCTCCAGACAGTCTCGTCCCTTCACCTGATGAAGGCCGCTTGTGTTGTGGCCGAAACGTCGTGATTTTTTGTTATTTTATTTTCACCTACGTGACTTTACCCAATAGAACCAAAGAGTATTTACCGAAAGAACCAAAGAGTATGGATTCCTGCAGTCACAAAAGCTTCAAATGAAGATTGAGTAATAGGGTTTTAAAAACGCAAATTAAATGGGAGTATCCACGTGGACGGATAGGATGGCAACAACATTCGTTCTAGATTTTAAGTTTTCGTGACTGCAAGGATCCATACTCTTTGATTCTTTCGGTAAAGTCACGTAGGTAAAAAAATAAATTAAATTTTACAAAAATGAAAACATACTAAATTCAATCACGACGTTTCGGAGGCGACACAAGCTTCCTTCATCAGGTGTAAGTAGCACGGCAAAATTACTGTAGAGAGAGAGCTATTTGTGATGAGAGATTAATAACAACATTCGCTCTTCGACAAGTTGGACGGAACTCCAGGATTGGAAAGGAATACAAAGGCTGTGCAAGAACAAGCCGATGGAGGAACTAGCCTCGCACACAGGTGGTCATGGGTTCGATCCCGACCCTGACACCTGCCCTTTGTGTGCGTGTGTCTCTCTCCCTGTGCGCTGCGTGAATTTTCCTCCGGGTTCCTCCGGTTTTCCCCTTCCACATTTAGAAATGTGCGTTTAAGAATATTTTGCTTGCGATAAATGTCCGCATGAGCTACTTCGTTGTCGCTTCCGAAGAATAGCTATATAGCTCAGTGGGACTTTCCTGATAAAAAAATAGTTTAATGGTTAATGCATGTATTGTCCTTATTGTTGTATTGGGTAAGCCGACAGTGTCCTCGGGGAGGTCTTATAACGAGGGAGCGCCCGCACCCGAATCTGCGTTATAACCGAGGAGCACAGTTTGCAAAAGTGTTTTGCCCAGACAATTACCATGCTTTCGCCATCGTACCCCTAAATATATATTGTCCCGAGGAGACATAAGCATGTAGGAAAGTGTCACGTAATCCACGCATATTAATAAAAAAACACATGTGATTGATTGAGACATTTCATAGTCTGAAATTTGCTATTTTAGATTTTCAGGGTCAATTTGAATATCACGATGCAGCAGTTTGATGCTGGAACTGCTGGATTCAACATCTTCCAGAATCGCAGCGATTCAACATCGAGCAAGGCATCGACACCATCCTCATCCACAGTGAAGGAAGACAGCACGGAGGAAAAACGCAGGAGAAAACTCCAACCTGAATATTAAAAAGCGGAAATCACAGTAACGGGCCGGGAGATTGCCTCAATAAAAAAATAAATATGTAAAACAGGATCAATCACAGTACACGCACTTGTGGGCTCTGTCTTGTATACGGTCTATTTTACTAAGACGGATGCTCTCCGCTTAACCGTCCCGCTGCCTCCCCGGCTGTCAGGTGCTTCAGGTGGACAAGCCTCTGAAGCCTCCGAAGGAACCGGAGGGCGCGGGGGTCAAGTGCGGCTGAACGGAGCGCTGCTGCGGAGAGCAGGCAAGCCCAGCGCTTGCCAAGCACACCTTGTGTGGTCAAGCCAAACGTGCGAGCAACGTCGATAGTCTCGCACTCCTGCAGTGGCGGATCCAAGGGTAGGGAAACGCGGGGGATGTATGTACGTACGTATGTTTAACTTCTATCATATTGTACGGGATAGCCTCCCCCTTGAGACCCCACAATTGGATTTTTATATTTACCACAAGCAACACATTTAATATTCTTAGATCTTTCGGTATTAATAAAAAAATATTTTGTTGTTTCCCTTCAACGTGACTTTACCGAAAGAGCTAAGAATATGAATTACTGCAGTCACGAAAGCTTTAAATCAAAACACATTTGATGTTTTGTTAACGTGCGGCTTGAAATATCGCCACTGCCGTCTCACCCCTTGGGAAGTTTCAGAGACCTTCCTCTGCAGCATTGTGAAACTGCAACTCGAATCCAATGTTGATGCACTGCTGGATGTCACTCAGCTGGTCGGCAAGAACATCCACGCATCAGTACCCGAGTTCAATAGACACCCGGCCGGTGTGCAGTGCGTGCAGTCCTCGGTGGAGAGAGGTGTCTGGGACCAGCTTCACACAGGACTGCCTGCGAAGCCACCTCCATCACTGAGCAAAGGTCGCTGATGCCGTGTCAAACTCAATCTTTGCTCACAAATGATTTATATTTGAGATGTGAATATAAGTAAATTTAAACTAACATTGTTTTGTTGTGAATAGCTCAAGAGAAATATCAACATTAAGCTACACCCATTTCAAACCTTTTAAAACAGTCTGCCTCAGCAGCAGACCATGCTTTCCCACCTGATGACGGATGCTTGTGTTGCGCAAGAAACGTGGTATTTTATTTTCTACCTACATGACTTTACCAAAAGAACCAAAAGAGTTGGATTCCTGCAGTCACGAAAGCTTCAAATCAAGATTAAGTTCAAATTTAAGAATATGCTTTTAATAAATACTCCCTGTAATTCTCAGTCTGCACAGAAAGAGCCACCAGGAGGTCGTGGCCAAACGCCCAAGGACACGCGGAGGCTGCAGCTGGTGCCGAGAGATCAAGACGGCCCTCTCCACCGCAGCGCACGGCCCCAGGTGCAGCGACCACGACCACCACCACCACTTTGTGGACGCCTCGGACGAGCCGGAGCCCAACAGAAGACCGCTCGAGTGCAGCCGTCGCCCAGACCTCACGAGAAGTTTTGAACGACACCTCCGCACTCTTTTAATCGTAAATAGTACACGCTTATTAAATGTCTTATTTATTTAACTGAAATGTGTGTTGCTTGTTATTTAACGCTTTCAAATAAAATGCACAACGCAGAAAGTAAATGTGCAGCCGATTGCTCGTGCCATTGGTGGCAGATCTTCACTGGGGGAAGTTCTGGAGAGCCCCTCTCTAGCGCATTTGAACTACTCTTCCCACATTTCACCCTACCACACACCACCTGCAGTGACGATATGTTAACTACCTCGCCTGATATGCAGGTGATGGGCTTGATCCTGATCCCGACGCCTGTATATTTGGAGTTTCCATGTTCTCCCCGTGGTCACTTGGATTTTTCTCTGGGTCCTCCGGTTTCTCCGTCATTCAGAAAGATGCGTTTCGAGTATTTGGCTGCATTCAATTTCCACATAAGCCACTTCGTTGAGCTATCATTTGTGATGGTAAGGTCGCTTCTGATAAAGAGCTATACAGCTCAGTGGGGCTTACCTGGTAAAATAAAAAAAAGTTTAGTTTCAACTTACTGTGGTGCACCTAATTATACTAGTGGGTGGACAGAAGTGGGTGGGACTTTACAAAATGTATGCCCTGAGATAAACTCAGCCTTAAATTAGTCTCTGTACCTATACTTGGGTCTGCCCTAGGTCGACTCAGCCTTAAAATAGTATGAATCTATACTGTCAGTTTACTTCGGATACAAACAAGGCACAATTATTATGACACGTAACCATACTACTATCCCTACCACTACCCCTAGATCTATTCCTAACACCTGAACCTGTTTAACATTAAGGTTACACTAAATAAGAAACCAAAAGTGTGCTGGCATCATAGGCAGGTAGCCTTCATCTAGCAGTGGACCAATCATGGCTGCTAAGAGGGTCGATTAATGTTTTACAACATTACCACTCTTTTTTCTTAATCTTAAGTTTTATGAATTAGTGCAAAAAAAAACCATGGCACACAATTCTTACAATATATACACTGCAAGCAGTATTTACACAATACTTCAAATTTTTGTACAAAAAATGTTTTAAATGTATCTTTAAATAACTTGGGGGGGGGGGGATTTCTTGAACGTGTTTGTAATCTGTCCCTTTTGAGTATTATGCATGTGGGAGCAAACCAGAGGAAACCCCCCTCATAAGAGGGGATAACAGTGAAGCTGGTTGTACAGCAGTGCGTCGCATGTCCGACTCACTGGCGAGGGAGGCATAGGTAGATAGTTGGACATGTTTAAGTGAACGTGCATATAAAACGGTGACTCCACGTACACATCTTGCACTGGGTGCGGTCCGTTAACTGGTCCGTGTGAATATATGACATTGTAGAGCAAGCCCTCTATTTACATTGGGGATGCATCCCTGGAAGGCACGGCATTTGACGGAGAGCGTACATCGAAAACTATTTTACCACCGACTTTAATGATATAAATTTAGGACACGTTCCTGGGGGTAATTTTTGGGTGAAAAATTTGCACAGTGTACAGTATGGCGGCGATGTTGTAAACGAAGAGGCATGAGCGCCCACTAGGGGGCACCGTGGCATAGCACACCACCCAACCTCCTGCGTTCTTTTGTTAAAACATTTCAAAACGGGAGTGAATCGATTCATTTAAAATCCCATTATGGTCCCTAATTCGTTGGCTATGTTACAGCGAAACAACGTAAAAAATAGGAGCAATGTAAACAGAGGGCTCACTGTACTGTGTGTCACGTCTATTTGATGTAATCACATCCCACAGGTTACCATCCAACCATCTCCCTGCACGCGCGTGTCCCCAGCTTGAAGACGCACACACTATGGCTCCGTCTCTGCACGATCCACCGACCCCCCAGCCACTTCCGAGTCGCTAGCTCACAGGACTCGCCGCGATTGCCGCCGGGCTCGCTGTGCTGCGCGAGACGCCGCTACGATGGTCGCGACCGCTTGGATGCTTGAGAATAATCCTGCGTGCGAAACGCGGGCAGCAGAGGATGGCGGCCCTCAACCAGAGCACACACATAGAACGCACACCCTGTACCATCATTATCAGCGACGAATGAAGGTTTATCTCAAGTCGTCGCTGTACAGTTCACACGGTTCTGCGCTATAACAACCCACCGAGCACCGGCACGCAAGCTGATGTCATTGCTCCATCTCTTTGGTGGGCGCTCTCTCGTGGGCTGCCAGTATTCTAGACCATCGGCCATCGTCCCTTCTAGCGACATTTCCTGCCCCAGCTCACTTTTAACACTTTTAATTACCTCTTTAACTGGCGTATAAATGTTACGTGTACGAACATCAAGCTCCAGGTTCATATAAAGTCAACTCTTGAAATATCTGGGGTAATGGAAGGAGGCGTGACCCGATAAAACAAAAATGTGGAAAATAAAAGAAACATTTAAATTAGGCTATACGAACGTATTCTTAACTTGCGGAGAATGCAGGTGATAACGTATAATTACTTTTACAATGGTTTACTTAGCAAAGCGTCACCGAGTACCATAACTATTTTTCATGAGACTTCTGCAAAGCTTTCACAGTAGTGCACGAAGATCATGATGTATATTCCCAATTTAATCATTTGTGGGTAATTTTTCATTTTGCCAAATATGGCCCCTGACGCAGGCACGCAAAGGCCTACCCTCGCAAATGACGCCACGGGATCTTTAATGTCAACTGTGAAGTAGACTTGAGTGTATTGTTACAGTGAATAAACCCGTAGTTCTAATCAGGGTGGTCGTTGGATTCTAAACCGTGAACCTTTGCGTGGAGCAGCGAACGGCACGACTGCCCGGCTATGTCGCCGCCCGTTGGATGACTCATCTTCGACAAAAATAACAACAATCACTCTTTTTGGCATTTATTTTCGTCACTAATTTCACGAAGCAAATGAACCGTGGACCGGTGAGCGTCACGAGAGCAAAGTGGTGGCAAAGCCTCACCGTGCTCTGCTGGAAGAAGTGCGGGGCAAGTTCCGTGAGCCAGGCCGGCTCCACCGCTGTCACGTCCCTCATGAAGAAGCGAGATGTCTGCACCACCTCGTTAAACACCACCCTGACGCACGCGCGCGCACACGCACGCACGCACGCATAGAGAGACCCTCAGTTAGGATTAAACACTGGAGGGAGAGCTGCTGTGGTGCAATGGCTAGCACACTGGACTAGCAATAGAGAGATTGCTGGTTTGACCTCGCACGGCAGCTGAAACAAATGGGACATCTGAAATGCCCCTGGCCTCTGTCCACGCAGCAGTACAAATGGGTACAATCACCAGCTCCGACAAGTTAAAACATCATGATGACAAACTTTACTCTCGTATGAAGAACAGGTGGGAAGGTCCTGCCATGTACTGTGGGAACAGCGGTGGACTGAAAGGAATCTCAGAAGTATCTCTGTGACCTCCGCTTCAGTGGGCCATTCTCTAACAGATGATTTGCATTGCTCTGCGAGGGACACGAATGGATACTTGGTCCCACGACGTGATGGCGAGAGCACAATCCGGGTTACAATTTTATGAAAAATCACGGGAAACATGCGGGTTTATGAATAATAAAAGACGTTGCGTTATTACCACTGCGGTGGCTTCTCGGCATAGAGCACGGAGGTCGGGTGGATGTGGAGCTCAAAGTCGTCGCGTACCGTCCTGTTCAACAGCGAAAAATCCAAGTCGACGTACATCCTCTGCCATCACAGGGTTCACCCGCTATAAATTGTTGCACTATGCGTTGTTTCGCATATACGTTGATGAATTATGGAAAATATTTTTTGTAAGTTTAAGTGCTGTTGATATGTGCCTATTAAGGCTGGCAGTGTGCACAATGGGTGGGGGGGGGGGGGTTGGCAGTATTGGACTTGGTGGCAGTACCAAATCCAGTGGCCTTTGCTGATGTTAATATACACCACCAAACCACATAAATAGCGGGGATCCAATCTCAGGTGCTCACCAGCACCAGCATAGTGTCTCTGACCATGACTATTGTGAGTTATCTTAGAGAAGCAGGTAGAGGCCCCTCTTAGTCCAGCACCCGAGCAGTGCTAGCTTCGTGTGGAACATGGCCATTGCAAGTCCCCTGAACCCCACAGCCAACTTTTATTCTCCTAAGCCAAGCATTCCATGATTGCGTGGGGTCTCCACGAGCTTCCGTTCCGTGCCTCTTCTCTCGTCACATCCACCCGTCCTCGCGTCTCGTTCCATCCCATCCTCCCATCTCCCCCCTCGGTCTCCCGCTACTCCTTCTGTCTTGCACCTTTAGCATCTCCATATAGTATCTTCACATTGCACCATCTTTGTCTCTTCTCAACACACACCATCAAAGTCTCACCTCCTTAACCTTCACAATAATCTCAGTAACCCCTGCGAAAGCTCTAACAATGACCATCCCATCGTATTAGAATGCATTCGGTAGTGTGGAGAACACCGCAACCTGTAGGCTCCACTGTGGTGTAGTTTGGCGGCATTGGCGAAGAAACCGGACACAATGCATCTCCGCACAGGGTCTGCGTCTCCTGCTCAGGCACACAGAGCAGGAAAACAAGACACACAAAACACACCGGCTACAGGGACGATCTCATGCCAGAGTGCACCGCTTAGTGGTTCAAAGATTAAAACGCTTCTTGACGAAAATTTTGGGAGAAATTTGTTCCACAACCCACACTGTGTGAATATTAATTTCTGGGCCTAAAATTTCACGTTTTTTTAATTACTTAACCATTTTTTATTGAATTCAACACAGTGTTGCTACGTTGTTTTTTTCATTTCACAATAACTTACACACAAATAATACAATGTTGTATTCCCTGAATTTTGCTTATTGAAGCATGAACAATTACAAATTTTCACATTTACATGTAACAATCACTCTTTGCAGGATATATAAATGGTGTGTCCCTTGTGTATATGCAGGCCCATTCAGATAAGTTTTATGACTTCCCCCTACCGAGAACATTCTCCGGCACAAGGTAGTAAACCCTGCTTGCTGTGAGAGTTGCGAAAAAACATTTATTCATCTAATAAAATGACACTGATAGCACACATGGAATGCCCACGTGCACATGCAACTCTCTCAACCCATCGATGGAAGAGGGCCTCCCCACACAGTTTGGGTCGTTGAGATCAACCATACTTCGCCACGATTCTCAGTGCACTTCGGTTAAAAGAGGCAACTTAGGATCAGTTGTACAAACTATAAAAACTATATTTTTTTATTCTACCAGGTAAGGCCTAGAACTATATAGCTATTTTTCAGAAGCGTCCTGGCCATCACAAATGGTAGCTTAACGAAGTGGCTTATTACGTTGACATTTATTGCAGCCAAATACTCTTTAAACATATGTTTTCCAAATGTGGAAGGTAAAACCGGAGGACCCGGAGAAAAATCCACATGACCACAGGGAGAGCATGCAAACTCCAAATAACCAGTCAGTTCAGATATCACTCGTCAATGAGGTCAAACTCAAGTCACCAGATTCATAGTGCAGTGTGCCAACCACTGTGCCAACGCTCCACTGGCATAGGGAGGAAGAAACGTACCGTTGCTGGAGTTGCTGGGGATGTGGAACCTGCGAAGAAGCTTTCGAAGCTGGTCCTGCAGGGCTCCAGCCCGCACCAGCCCCTTGTAGTTGAGGAAGTGTTGCTGGCACCAGGCGGAACTCTTGTTGTGCTGAGTTCCATAAAAAATGGGAATGTTTGTCAAAAGGTCTCCTCGACCAACCAACGCCACTGATGCCAACGCATATCTTCCCACGCTTCCTTACACTTTCTGGATTCTCTCCCATTTTTTTATCACTACGGTCGACAAGTGACCTCGAAATGTGTAAGGTGATATTATACACATTCCTAAAGGAGAGACCAATTTCTCTACAATTTTCCATTTGTTTCAACTCTAAAGGGGGTCTACCCTTCCACCACCCCCCCCCCCCACTCCAAAAACCCCCATTACATGCAGAACACTGTACATCTGCCCACGATATTTGGAGGACACATTTAAAATAGCAGCAGTCAATCGGTCAAGGGCTCACCTTCACGAATGCCTCAAACACGTTCAGCATCGTCATGTGATCGCCCTCTTCCACCGCAAACTTACGCTGCTGACGAGCCTGCAAGCAACACACCGGAGTCACGGTGGGCAGGGTTGGTGGCTCACACAGAGATAATCGTGTGCTGCAAGACTCGCAAGCTGCACGGCTGCAAGATGGTCGCGAGAAACAAGCATGTTTGATCTACGCGTAGTTTATTTTTTTGGGTCATCCTCTCTTGTAACTGGGTTTTCTCCGGGCACTGCTTTCATCCCACACGCATATGAATAAGCAGTATATGAAATGGCCAAAAAAAAAATGCTCAAGAAAGACAGTGTTCACACTCGGGTTCAGTTTATCCTCCGTAAACAACTATACTGATCGAAGTATAAGACGGCTTTGGCCTACGATCAAATAACTTGGAATGCACCCGGGCCTGATCACATCTCGGAAGTTAAGCAGAAAACGAGCCTGCCTCGTGTTAAAATTGGTGACCACCAGTTCAACAGCAGGCTGCCATAATTGTAATCGGGGCTGTGCTATGTGGTGCATGGACGAAAGTGCTCTACGTATACAAGATCCCTTGACGACGATCGACGATGAGGGGCTTAAATTTTGATGTAAAGCTTTCGTGACTGCAGTAATTCATATTCTTAGTTTTTTTCGGTAAAGTCACGTTGAAGAGAAACAACAAAATAATAAAATATATATAAAACAATAAAAAATTCTCACGACGTTTCGACCATAACTCAAACGGTCATCTTCAGGTGTGTTGGTTTGCATACATTTTTTAAATAAATAAATAAATGCGCCGTTTAAAAATACATTTATGCAAACCAACACACCTGAAGATGACCGTTTGAGTTATGGTCGAAACGTCGTGAGAATTTTTTTATTGTTTTATATATATTTTATTATTTTGTTGTTTCTCTTCAACGTGACTTTACCGAAAAAACTAAGAAGATGAGGGGCTTGTGTGTCGTTTGCTTACGGCCTTTATCTTCTGGTTGGGCGGAGAAAGGAACACGTTCTGAATCTGCATCATGGCGGCGATGGTGATAATCTCTTTTGAGCAGCCAAAGGTTCCTGGGAGTAACAAAACAAATCCCAAAACACATTAAAACAGCATTTTAAACAAACCCATAAAATGTCACCATTGTTGAGAAACAACGATTTTGAACATTGCTCAGTGGTCACAACACTGAGCCAGGGACCACTGCGATCCTGGGGTTGAATCTGGTTAACCGTGCTCGATGAAGCTTGGTTCTCAGGTGCATTGAGTTCATGGACTCAATTTAGTCACCAATGATTACACACAAAATCTCCCCATCATAATACATTTGATGTGCCACTTTAAATCAGCATATTCCATTTCTGCCAATTTAGGAATGTTTGCTCGATCGACATGAACAACCACAGCAGGTCACGTAAAAGTGATGTCCCTCCTATAGATAGAGAGGCCTACTGAAGTGACTTAGAGCTCTATAAGGCCCTCTTCTGGGGTGGTTCTCAGACACAGAATGGTGAACTGCTCACCGCGAGAGGTCCAAAAGAAAAATTTGTGACACGAGAATTGTAATAAAACTGACAACTGACAAGAGGGGGGCAGAAGCCAAACGAATAAGTGTGCTTCAATATATTGTGAATTTTACATCAGGGCTGATGAGGTACAATAGTCCACAAAGACGATTCTTTGTCTTATAACTTGGCTGACGGCATCAGTGGGACGATGACAAATGTGAAAACAAAAAAACCCCAGACTCGGTACCTGATTCAAGCAGCATCTTGGCGTACATGGGTCCCATGGGGAACTCAGCCATGCGCACTCCCAGGGGCTCCGTCAGCTGACACTGCTCATCAAGGCCTGCGTGTGCACGAGAGTGGGGAGTGGCGGCGCAGCGGTTGAGCGCGCTGCGCTACAAACTCGGCGGACCCAGAGTTCGATTCCCGCTCACAGCCAACACCAGTGACGATTATTCTGAACCGATCCTGGGCCTCCCCCTAGGGTCGACTCAGCCTCAAATGAGTACCTGGTGCGGTGCGTAAACATCGCCGCTGGGGAGACAAAGGAAGCCGGGCGTGGTGCTGGCCACCTACCCCCTTGGTGTGCCATGCCACTTGCGCCAACAGTCTGTTAAGGCTACACAGGGGATCTTTGTCTTTGTTGTGTATTTGTGCATTTACACAAAGAGGAAAGAGCAGTGTCTTAGCGGTTAGTTCACGGCGCCACAATCCTTGACAACCAGAGTTTGATTCCCAGCCTTGCACGTCATCATTGGCGCTACCCGAACCTGTCCTGTGCACCCTCAACAATGACTCAACCATTCTCGAGTAGCTGGCACCGTGTGTGAACATCACCACTGAAGAGACAAAGGTGGCCGTGCATTACACTGGCCAGCACTCCACCTTGTGTGCGCTGGGCCAGCCTTAATAGGCCCTCGCTAACATCACCCATCCCCCATGCTCTAAACAGCAGCTAAACAAGTGTAGTCTTCCTGTGCATAAGCAAGCCTAGGTCAACGTAAGCTACTTCCTCATTAAACTTACTGATCAACTAAACAATTTTTTTTTTAATTTTAGCAGGTAAGGCCCACTGAGCTATAGAGCTCTTTTTCAGAAGCGACTTGGCCGCATGATAGCTCAACGAAGCGGCTTATCGCGTGGAAATTTAAAGCAGCCAAATACTCCAAACGCAACGTTGATTCTAACACGACGACGAGGACGCGTCTCTCCACGTGACAACAACCACTGCAGGATGCTCACACAGCAGGCTCCATTGACTTTGCAGGGATGATGGGCGAGAGCCCCGTGCAGTGGCGGGAGTGACCGAGGCGTGCGTTAACATGCGGCCCCCACCAACATCCTATTTGGCCCACAGTAATGACTCGGGGATCACCCACCCCCGCTGCTTTAAATGCACAGGAATTCAAGCGCACGCACCTCCCAAAGCGTAGAGTAGCTCCACGGCTTGCACCATGGACTCAGCTGGAGGAGGCTGCGGAGAGAGAAAAAAGACACGGCCAAGGGTCGCATGAATTTACAAACTGGATGACGAACGCAACTTTAATAAAAAAATGTTTTGTTTCCAACGAAGGAGCTTAGTGTTCCTGGCTCGGCTCCGATGTGCCCGCGGGAAAATAAAAGTGTAACGCCGCACGAGCGAGCACGGTGAGCCTCACCGAGAGGAAAGAGAAGCGCAGGACGTTGTCGATGCCGAGTGCCTTGAGCTGCAGAATGACGGGCGCCATGTCGCTCCGCCGCATCTCGGGCTCCGTCGCCTCGGGCAGCTTCGCGAACTCCGACTCTGTGTCAGCGCACGACCGTCGGCACTCTAAGCGGCAGAGCCGGGTGGGCAAGCGCAGCCACCGCCAACCGTGTGGGACCCACAGGTAACTTGGAAGGGATCCTAGAGGTTAGCTCTGTGATATGTGCTACCGTGGGGCGTTTTCTAACACACGAAGGGATGCATTGCTCTGCGAGAGATCCAGACTGATTCTTTGTCACATGGCATGGCACGGAGAGCACAATCGGGATCAAAATTAGGATTACATTTCTAAACCGACACTGCAACCGATACTGCGTGCTGTTAGCGGGCACGGTGCACGCGTGGGTGGTGTCTAGAATCACGCCCGACCGCCCTTGCCTCCCGAGTGCTGATGTTAAAACACCACACCAAGGTATTCATTTAAGGCTGAATCATCCTAGATAATGACGATTGATGTTAGATGTTATCCGTGGCCGGGAATTGAACTTGAGGCCCTCATGTTTGTAGTGCGGTGCCCTAACCACTGGACTCCCACTCTTCACATTCACAACCAGGTTGTTGGTGCAGGTCCAGCTCGACCTGCCTTAAATCAAGGACCTGATGCGGTGTGAACATAAGCGCTTTCGAGACAAAGGTCGCCTGGCGTTGTGCCGGCCACAACGAGCGCGAATACGCCGTGCCAGCCTTCACGAGCGCTCGCTAACAACACTCATCGACACAACGCCTAACACAGGACAGCATGCACGCTCACCGTCGTACCTGGATAGAGACGGTAACACTTCCCCGGGCGGCTCCGCCCGGCCCGGCCGGCACGCTGCTGTGCCGACGCCCGCGACGCCGGCGTCACAAGCAGCGCGTCGACGGCACGGCGAGGGTCGTAGGCGCGCAGCTTCACAAAGCCACAGTCCACCACGAACGCGATGCCCGGCACCGTCACCGAGGTCTCCGCCACATTGGTTGCCACCACCACCTGTCCGCACGTGCGGTTCGCGTTGGGAGTGGCGGAGAACCGAGGGGCTTTTGTTACCAACAAAATGGGGGGTTAACGTTCAGTGAATGTTCAACATGAACGTCATAGGAACGGAATCGGAAGGAAAAACGTATTCATCGCAACGGGAAAGGGTCAATCATCCGCACGTTTTCAGACTCTGACCTTGCGACAGTTGCGGCCGACACGCTCAAACACCTTCATCTGGTCAACGTACGGCAGCCCCGCGTACATGGGCAGGGCGCGCACGTGCCTGTGCAGGCTGCCCTTGCTGCGTGCCGCCGCCGCACGCACCTCCTCCACCACGGCCGACACGACGTTCTCCACCTCCTCCTGCACGGGCGCAGCAGCGGGCAGGCGAACGAGCGATCCGGCGGGCGAACGAGCGAGCGAGCGAGCAGGCGGACACGCAGGTGGTGAGCGGGTGAATGAGCAAGTGGGCAAGTGAATGAGTCAATGGAGCGGGCAAGCAGGTGGGTGAAATGAGCGGATGAATGAGTTGACGAGTTAGCGAGTGAGTGAATAGGTGGTGCATAGCTGAGCTGCACAGCAGCTGCTGCAGGGCTGCATAGTGGGCAGCAGATGGCAGTGTAACATCATCGACTGTTTGTAATTTTACGCTCCTGTTCTATGGTCTGTGCCGTCGCCAACTGACTGGCATGGTGAATTATGATTAAATGAACCCCATGACCCGCACGGCAAGGGGAGGCTCTCATACAGCTGTAGATTGACAAAGGGCTGTGCAGGTACAAAATACTGTGGTTCAGCCTCTGCTTAACTTGTGCTCTATGTGGCAACGGAAGCTGTTGTAGGATTCTGAATAATGTCGCGGAAGGTACCTGTCCGGTCAGAAAGGCCAGGATGTCTCCGTCCGCTGCATCGTTGTGAATTTTCATAATTGTCTCTACCGTGGTCTTCACATAGTCTGGCACAGGACTTTAACACACACAATACCGACAATGAAAATAAAACTCATTACATCAATATGTAGCTTCTGGCGTTTGTGCTTCACAGTGCTGGATTTCATGCATTTGCCACCACTGCCCAACCCTCCACAAAATGTAATCCGCTAAGCAGCATTGACACTCAAATGCACGGGAAAACGACGATGGTTATAAAAAAAACTGAACTGACATAGTTGGGCACGTAGGTACTGCAACTGCCAGTCACCCTGGTCTGCTTAACAGTGACAAGTGGATCGGACTCACAAGTTCTGCCCGTGAGCCTTTGTCACTCCACGTGGACACCAAGTGCACCTAGCCCGGCACAAGCAAGTATCGTCGAGGAAGTTACCTGTGCGTGTATAAAATCTCCACGGGGTAGGTGCGTCCCTCGACGGTTAGAATGGCGCTTGTGTCCTTGGTGGGGTCCGATGTGTCATTGTGGTTGAAGAACTTCTGGAATTTCTAGATTACAAGTGAAAAATATGTAAAGGTGCAGCCCTGCAATTACTTGCTCATGTCACTGGTGGTGGAAGGGCCTCAACTAGAGCGACCGTACAGTGGCTGGTGCACAAAGTCATGAAAAGTCCTTTGTCTTCCCAGCGTTGATTTGATTAGGGTTAATTTAGTCAGAATTTCAGTCTTTTAGTCTTAATCTATAAAAACTTGCAGAATTTGTGTCAACTCTTAATCTGTATACTTTATTTAGTCATTAAAATAAAAATGGCAACTAAATGAAATCCACAGAATAAAACTTAACTTAATATTCCACAGGTTTCCGTCAACTAGACTACGATTAAAAGACGAACAGGCCGACTAAATTAACGCTCGGGTTGATAAATCAGCAGCCGCTCACTACTTTTAGTCTGAGTTGACCTGTAATGGCAACGATGCAGCCTGGGTCAGTATAACCATAGCCCTGAGAACCAACACCACCTGCTCATCACATGCAACAGCACGGCATAGATACTGGAATTTTAAAACCACACTAGCATCAGGCACACAATCAACTCATACCTCTGCATCAAGAGTAGCAGATGCGACAATGATCCTCAGCTCTTCTCTCTTTTTCTGTATCTGCAAAGAAAAAATGAAAAGCACTTAAGGTGAACTGCGATTAACATTTTTAAATAAAAAAGAAAATTACAACAGGAACAGAGTGCTTTTGGAATATCGATTTGATCATCAATGTGCCCGAATAAGAAAGGTGGTTTTCAATCGGTACGTATTATTCACTCTTATACAGATCAGAGTCAATGACACTACAGACTGAAAAGTACTCCAAGACACATGAGAGAGATGCACTCTCGAAATTTACAGTGAAAGACAGGGGAACACGATAATCAGGAAACAAACACAATCTGAAAAATCGTATTGACTGTTAACAAAATCAGGGGGCTTCGGCGGGACACGTCGCTCGATGGGATGGCCGATGAAAAAAAAACTGGTGATGGGACTGGCAGCCCAAGGAGAAAACAAGGGCAAGAGACAGCAAGGAGATAAGCTGAAGAGCGCGACACACCGTGGCAACGCAGGACCATGATGTTCGCTGATGGCATGGGCAGTTCTTCATTCGGCAGTGAAAAAACAATGGCTGATCGCGACAATGTATTTACACATAGTGTACATTAAATATGAACGCACAAAGTAAAGGGAGTACAGCCATTGCATTAGACCGAGGTTACTGTCAATCTTAACTCATTATGGTGATGTTAAAGCTTTCCTTTTTTCGATAAAGTAAATTGTTTTACCTTTCTTAGCAGGCCAAGAGCGATATCGGTGTACAGAGTCCGTTCATGGGCTTCATCCAGTATAATAACGCTGTCGGCAGAAAAAAAATAGAACTCATTGAACCGTCGCACAGAGCTAACCTACAACCATACCAGGAGCCATACTGCATTCGACACATTCGTTACGGTAGGATAAGGTGCAGTGGTGTCACCAAACCTCAGCAATAACGGACTGTGCGCAGTTAAGTGGAGTCACCTGTACTTCTTCAGCAGTGGATCAGCCATCATTTCCCTCACCAGCATTCCGTCCGTCAAGAACTGTCCGCAAACACCGAAACATTACACACTTTGACATTCATGCAGATGAATACCCAGTGAGCGTTCATATGTTCTGTAGTTCAGAGGCAGTGGAGGGAATGGTTATAACCTCATAATGAACAGTTGGTTTTACCACCAGAGGTAGTACCAACAAGTAGGGCAGTGCGCAATCTAATAAATGTGGCCATATGTACCGTGTCTGCATATTGTGGATTATTTTTTGGGGGGTGGGGGGGGAGTGAGAGAACATTGAAAAAAAGTTGGGGAAAAAATCAAAATCGCACTGCAAACTGCATGCAAAGCAATGCTGACTTGTTGCTCACTGCAATTGCATGCTGCACAGAAACGTCACGTGCCAGCTAGTCCTAATTGAGTAGAATTTGACCTCCCAGAAGACCGTGTGGCCAACGGGTTATATAAAAAAGAACTTTTTTTATTTTCTATGTGGAGAGACGGGCATACGAAGGCAATATTGCCTGCCGATGTAGTTTAGTAGTGTACTTTACAGTAACTAACATTGTCCAAGTGATGGGTTTTTCATATTTGCATACACTTTAAGAATACTATAAAAAAGCTAAACAATTGTCAAAATTTGGTCATCATAGATATAATGGGGTAAAAATAACCTTTATCATGGTACTCCACCGCAGTTATGCCAGTATTTGGAGGACACACTGTGATCACAATACAAGTAGTTAATGTGTTCAAAGTAGTCTTACTGGAAATAAGACCACTTTTAATAATACCAGGACACTTCACCCTTGAATTAGCCCGGTGTTTGGAGGACACACCATAATAACTTTACAAGTTGTAATAGGCTACATTTGTTCTTTATTGAAATAACAAATATACTGGGGCACCCCACCCCTGAATTGTCCTGGTATTTCGAGGACAGCAATCGATGCGAGCTGGGACCGATCAACTATCAAGGCCTCAACCTTTATGCGAGTGGCTTGAGGGTCACTGCAGTCGTCAAAGCGAATGCAGTAGCCGACCTCGTGACCGAGCAGCGCGCCTCTCTCCTCCGCAACTCGCGCTGCGACCTGGCCACATCATCCAAGGTGGATGGAGGTAGACACATGTGTACAGACACACACACGCAAAGCAGTGAGTACATGTATGACAGGCTGAAGCAGTTTGGATCACAAGGACAAAGTGTGGTGTGTTTCAGGAAACAAGGGACGGGACAAGAGGGAGATCCAATGCTGTCAACGTCCAGTTTTGGGATGACACATGATGATGATCTACAAGAGTGGCATACCGACATGCTCATCAAAAAGTGTTTGTTGCGTGTCAACGAAAGCCAATATGAATCTACTTTTTTTGCAAAGTAGGTGACATTTTTGCCAATGGCCTTCCTACACATAGCAGAAGAATGGCCGTGGATGAATGTGCCGAGTATTGGAAACGACTCGGTGCAAAGACAGACAACGAGCGGCGTGCGTTTTCACCGTGGTTGCTGCGACCCTCCGTGGTTGAGTGATGGCCACGACGTGCCCCTCCGTTGTCCAGCCGGCTTCCGCCAGGTACTGCGCAAGACGACGCAATTAGACAGGACAGAACACTGCTGTGGCACATGCACTCCATTCTCCCTCAACAAATTAGAAACAGATTAACATGTCGGTGCAAAACAAGATACTTGTTAGAAAAATGACAAGGTTATTATATTCCACCAATTTCGCCATTTATTCACTAAAGGGTAGCTGAAAAGGTTATTTCACTAATGCAGCAGGTTTTATAAATAATAAACGGCCCTTTGTCATTCCGCTACATGATAAAGGTCTCTCCACACCTTGGTAATCATGCTGGTCATCGTGAGTTAGTGAAGGGGAAGCCACGGACCAGTTCAAAATATCACTTATCAATGACATCAGGCTATGTTTATCCAGCAACTGACCTCAAGTGGCCAAGTTTATGGTGCAGCGTACAAACCATCGCACCACATCTGATAAGACTTCAAAACACATTGAGCACAAATCTACAGGAAAGGCACAATTATAAAGTATAGTGAACCACTGATTGTGCTATGTATATCAAACTTTAAGTCAATTCCACACCTTCAATACCCATGCGTACCTGGGGAATTTGTGTGCTTTTACCGCATCCAGTCTCACCCACAATCACAACAGTGCGGTATTTCTCCACCAGGTAAAGGACATGATTCCTGTGCTGAACAAAACATGATTGCACGAGGGAAAACAAATCAATAACTGAAAAAAAACACATAAATCTACAGTTATATCATATCCTGGGCACATACACCAACCATTTCACAATGCACTTGGCATACGAGGCGGGAGATACATGGCATGAGAATGATGATGCACAGAATCGGAGGAAGGAGATGCGTGGCAGGATATGTGTGAAGTCGAGATGGGAGCTGCATGGTTTGAGAGGAATATATGTGCAGTCTGAGGTGAGATGCATGAAGAGGTGAGACATGAGTGGACAGGAAGGAGGTCTGAAGTAAGATACGTGTATGACCTGCCACATATGTTAAGGCAGGTAATACACTGAATTTAAAGCAACAATCCTGACATCTCAAAATGCTTTGATAGCAACTATGAACGTTGGCAAGGCGCCATGAAGATGTCGTGCACTGCAAGTACCATGAATATGGGCAAACGCTGTCGCTGCTGCTGGATGGAAAGGGAGATGTGAGGGTTGTACACAAATGCCGTGGAGGCCTCTTCCCCCGGAGTAGCGCGCTCCTCCCCAACTCCAGGCGCCTCCGTCCCTATCACATGAACAACGTGCAATGTTCATCTGTATGAAACATTCTCCACAGTCTAGACTCACATTGTCATCGTCAGCAGCAGCAGCAGCCACAGGCACTCCACTGCTCGATGAAGGCCAAGCCGTCACAATGTCACATGGTTCTGCGACGGAACAGCAACTGCACAAGAGCTGATTTTATTACATACATTACATACTCTCGGCTTTGTGTAAGTGTGGAAAGTATACTGTAACCTAGAGAGACTCGTACAAACAGCGACACTGCTCCACACACACACCAGTCACAAGGAACTCGGGGATAAATTGTTACGAATGGCATTTTCTGGCAGGTCAGTGCATTTCTCTCCACATTTCACCTTTGGGATTCTTGGGATACAAGTGTTATCACCAGAGGCCCAAACAGTCAGACTAAAACAACTTTACTCAAATGCCAATTTCAGGCCCCTCGGTGAAAAGTGGTCTCCAACTCTTATTATCCACTTCCTCTGTCCTATGTATGTGCTGTGAAGGGCCACTGCCCCAAAGGTCACCATATATTAATTTAAGTGTTATTTACGAACGCGTTACATTTTTTACGTGTGCCTGTGCATCACTGCCAACGCAGCATCAGAAAATAATTTAACATTTTAGGCTGTGGTTGTCCCACCTGATGACGGACGCTTGTGTTGCGCCCGAAACGTCGTGATTTAATTTATTTTATACCTACGTGACTTTACCGAAAGAACCAAAGAGTATTTTAGGCACCTTTGTGATTCTGGGGACTCAAGTGTAAATACCAAGACTCAAGAGCCACAGGGGCTGTGGTGGCGCACGCCTTTAATCCAGCACTGTGTGAGGGTTGGTTGATCGCACTCATCTCGTGAAACTCCCTTCCCGTGGGCGTCGAGGTTCCATAAACCCTGGCTTCCAAGGCGGTAGTACAGCAAATGTGGACTCCACCTGTTCCTTCTGTATGGGATGGTCCTCCGGTTTTCCCTCTACATTTAGAATCAGCTTGCGTTCAGAGTATGTGGCTGCTGTAAATGTCCACGTGATACGCCACTTCACTGGGCTATCATTTGTGGCCAGGTCGCTTCTGAAAAAAAGCTACATAGCTGCGGGGCCCATTAGCTATCGACCAATACGGCTTACACGTATTCTTGTACAGGGAAATTGAGTTTTCATGTACATACGGCGTACAGCCGTTTCACTACGGGCTTTGTAGGATTAGCTGAGATTTATCAGGGCATGGGGTGACCCATAAGGTCTGAATTGGTCTGTAATAAGCTAGGCACTGACAAGGGGTTGACAGGTATGTGGGGCCTTACCTGGTTAAAATATTTTCAAAACACATGTAAAGTGTTGCCTCCTGGCGCGCCAAGGTTTTCTGTGGGTGCTCCGGTTTCTTACCACATGTATAATTGTCTGAAAACATCTTAATATGTGAACGACGATATATTTGATTCCTACGATAATTAGAAATTAGATATTTTATTAAATGCTCCACTGGGATTCTTGAGTTTCATTTGAATGATCAACGCCTCATAAACACCACACTAAGGGACGCTTGCGATTTAAACGGTCCGATATTCACACAAACACGCTTCGAGCAGATTAGTAGAATAGCATAGTTACTTTATAAGACTGGCATTAAATGAATACTAGAGTAAGCACCAGGACTAAGTACCCTATCCACATCCCACCGAGCCTCTCGAGATATTCCAACCGAGGAAGCTGCGCCTCTCCCGGCCAATAATCTAGGCAAGACCGTTGTTAACAAGGCCCTCGACAACAATTCCGTGCATAGAGCGACAGTTGATTTTTTTTTTAAATGACATTGCACAAGCGAGGGATGACTATAAGAGAAAGGTAAAATTAGGCGAGTGAGCGAGCGAGTGAAGGACGAGGTGAAATATATCCCGCACCTGGCTTCCAAAATTTGGGAATCACTCGCGTGGCCGCCATGACGGTCAGACGCGTGCGGGCGGCGTTGACCAATCGGCGCGCAGCACCGCGATGACGTCGAGGCGAGGAAAGTTTCGGGATAGCTAGCTAACTAAATAAATAAATATTAATCGCACCAACTTTTATTCTAACTTCACCGAACCCTCTCTAACGTTGGACCCAGGGGTTCGTTTCGGAATCGTCACCCGCTGATTGTTCGAGGGTTTATATTTTTGTTGTTGTTGTTGCAATGTGTGCGGTGACGTGACCGGCGCCGACTTGGGGGAGTGGCAAGACGGGGATTCGATTTCATAGCGCGCATTGACACAAACGCAACCCCCCTCCTCTCCCCCCCCGAGGACCGCATTACCACGAGCTGAGGAGAAAATGTAAAAATGTTGCGTTTGAAAAATCTAACATTTGACGTTTTAAAAACTCAACAAAAATGTCACGGTTTAAAAAAAAAATCAACAACAGCCAACAACACGGTCAAAAGTTAAAGGGCGTCTTCAATGTGCTAAAATATACGGACTGAATCATTCATATCAATCCGCGGCCTTTCATATTAAAATTCGTGTAGATTGACTTCGTACACCCCCCCTCCCCCATCTACACCCCCCCCTCCCCCATCTACACCCCCCCCATCTACACCCCCACCATCTACACCCCCCCCTCCCCCATCTACACCCCCCCCATCTACACCCCCACCATCTACACCCCCCCCCCCATCTACACCCCCCCCTCCCCCATCTACACCCCCCCCATCTACACCCCCACCATCTACACCCCCCCCTCCCCCATCTACACCCCCCCTCCCCCATCTACACCCCCACCTCCCCCATCTACACCCCCCCACCCTTCCCCCTCCCCCATCTACACCCCCCCCCACCCTTACCCCTCCCCCATGTACCCCCCCCCCACCCTTTGCCCCTCCCCCACCTTCCCCCTTATCCCTCCCCCTCCTTTCATCCCCCCTTCCCCACCCCCACCGACCCATCCCCCTCGCCCACTCCCCGATAACTTCCAACACTCCCCCCTCCCCTCCCCACGAATGTTCTTCGCGCGCCCCCCCACTCCTTTCCGAACTCTTCTGTGATTGGACATCCCCTCCCTCCCCCCCCCGTATGCTTGGCCAATGAGCGCGGCCGCAGGCGTGGTCGCCGCGGCGGCTTCGGTCACGTGCTCGCAGGCGCAGGCCAATAGCGCGCGGGTCAGTGGAGTGGAGGGGGCGAGATTGGGGTGGTGGGGAGGGGCGGGGCTGGGGGGGGGGAATAAGAGGGGGCGGGGCTGGGTGGAAGCAGAGAGAGAGGGGGGGGGGATGGAGGAGGGGGATGGGCAATGGTGGTGGGGAGGAGGAGGGGGGGGAGCCCTTTTGTAAATTTATCGTAAATCGAAAGTAAAAAAAAATTATAATCTCGCCACCTTTATTATTCGCGCGCGCCCGCGCCGCAGCCGCCGCCGCCGCCTTTACGCGATTGTTAATTCTCATTTATTAATTGCCGCGTAATAATTTAGTTTCGATGTCGTCCGTGCGTACGCGTGGCTGAAATCGCGGTTACGTTTTGTGGCGGAGGTTTAAACTGCAAAAAAATGTCCGCAAATAAGTCTAAAAAGAGTACCAAAACGGCGACCAAGAACTGCCCGCGATGTGAACAACAGGTAAGGGAGGAGGAGGAGAGGGGTGGCAGGGAAGAGCGGTCGTGGGTTCGCGACAATTTATTGTAAGAAATGTTTTTATAGATTTTTTTTTAGGTTTTTTTTTTTTAAAAAAAGGTCCGCTTTGTTTTTAAACCTAAAAAAAATCTATAATAGTTTTTTTGTTGTTGTTGTGTGTTAAAAGAGTTTTCTGAGGAAAGTTTTGTTTCGGGCGGAGGGGGAAGCGGATTTGCCTTTTTTTTGAGCCTCGCAATATCGCGCGCGCTGGCGGTCGTCAAGCAAATGGTTGATATTAAGTTATCTTTTATTTAAAAGTTCCTCTGCTCGTACGAGTTTTTTTTTTAAATATAAATCTGAAAGCCGATGCATTACAAAAGCGACGCTTTTGTTTTGTCTGTCGCACGCGCGAGTTTTTATTTTTTAAAAATTTTAATGGGCAAAATAAAGTTTGTAAAGCGTCGCTTCGTGTAGGCGAGTTAAAGTAATATTTTGACGGTCGTGTTCGAAGTGAAGTTTGCCTGCTGTGGCACTCTCTTAATGTGTACAGTATTATATAATGTGCGATTGTTTCTACGCGTTGTTACGGTCGTTTTATCTCGTTAAGTCTTCGACAAATTGTTTAAATTGGGCACAGTTGCGATGTTAGTTTTTGCTCGTTGTGAATTAAATGGGTTTTTTTTGTGTTAAAAAGTGCCCCCCCCCGTGTTCTACAAATTAGGTCAAAGGTGATTTCTTAACGCCGATGCCAGCGTATTTATGTTTAAAAGTTACACTTTTTTAAAATTGTGTTTTAGAGTACAGTGTTAGTGAGCTATGTTTAAGGCTTTAGCGTGAGTTATTAAGTGCCTCGCTTTAATTGTATTGATTTTGTCACGTACTGTGTTGCTATTCAAGTGTACATTGTATTGCACTGTACTTCACAAAGGAATGTTGCTTTAGGCTTGTGCCGTAATTATAGTAATAGCGTAGTTATTACTGTATTATTTATAATGTTAGGTGAAATAACGTCGTGTACTATATCAATATAGTAAAATGAACATTAGTCATACCAAATAATAAAATTACATAATACATCGATTAACAATATTGAGCTTATTCATTATGATATTGTCTTTGTAATTGTATGATGGGGATCATAACATTTAATAATCTTAACCAAAGTAACATTTTACTTGTTGGTGATATTTACCAGTCTTTCGTAATGATACTAAATAATTACAATCAAATCCTGTAAGATGAAGCATTCAACAGATTATAATCGCACAAACCTTGTGCTATTGTCACTTAACTATTGCGGTTATTTAATTGTAGTGTATAATGGAAAGACGAGTTAGTAATATTGGTGCTTGTAAAACGTTCCTAAACTAAATTAAACAATTCGAATAATCTTTCGATAAGCGATGACATTGTACTGACTGCATGTGGTACATCTAATATTTACCGTGACCATTACAAATAATTGAGCTTGTTATTAAGTGTTATAACATGTCAATAATCATAATGGTGCTTCTTTAAACAATAATTTCAGTGTGTACAGCTTTGCTATGCAATATGAAGACGCTAATTACAAATACAATTTCTATTGATAGTGTTAATCGGTAATTATGTTAATACCGTAATAACCGGTAATACTGATATATTTTATTCATGTACTTAACACCTTTTAATCAATGCGACTTTTTGCTGCTTGCCAATCATTTTCACATTAACGATCGGTAATTTTTTATATTTTTTTTATTAACGATGAGTAATAATGGTTCGTTTAATAGCAACATACAAATGGAATGTCTGCTATGCAAAAGGGGCCTTGTGCCCGAAACGTCTGTATCGCAGCGTAACATTTGACTTCGAGGGCAGTGTTGTTGAGGAATCTCATTTTGTTTGTTACTTTCACGTAATCTTTGTTATCTCAACGTAAATGTAGCAGCAGCATCAGCAGCGAGTGACTGCCCTGTAAGAATGAGCAGCAGTACAGTAATGTAATGCTCCTGTGCTAACCCAATGTGGCGCGTGTGTATTCTGTTTCCCCACACACGAAATTAGATCCCGGTCGCTTGCAAGTCGTGTACTTGCGGGAACATATTTATCAGCAGAAAACTCCTCAATTTGGCCCAAGCAGACAAACCAAGACCTACCCCTGCTGTACACGGTATGAGCTACTAAACATTTTGTTTGCAGGGAAAGCTTAAAAAAAAAAGTTGCTTTTGGAGGTGTGTACGAATCCACATTTGATTTAATCGCTTGAGAGCTGACTTGTGATGCTCGTGATATATTATTATTATTACGAGCAATCCACTGCTGAATGAAGGCTGCCCCCTTCTTTTGGCTATTGGAGGGAAGATGCGTGACCATACTTCACCACGCGGGTCGATGAAGGTGCACGCAGTACTTTCCCGACTTGTGGGAATTCACTCGCATTGAGGTGACCCTTTCAGGATTGGCCCAGGCACACCTCCAGGCGTGCAGTGAACGTGTTATACCGCGGTGGCTATGAGATGTTAACTACCTCTCCTGGTGTGCAGCCTGCTGCTGCTGTATATTTGGAGTTTACATGTTCTCCCCGTGGTCGCGTGGATTTTTCTCCGTGTCCTGCGGTTTTTCCCCTCCACATTTTAGAGACGTGCGTTTTTAGCTGCTAGAAATTTCCAAACGATGATAATCCGCCACGTCATTGGGCCATCATTTGTTATAGCCACGTCACTTCTACAAAAAAGAGCTGTATATTTCAGTGGGCCTACCTGGTAAAAAAAATAAAATGTATTTGTAAAAACACGCTTTTATGAAATGTACTAAAAAGTAAAAAAATATATTTTCAAGTACGTTGCATTATATGTGTATAATATACTGTTGTTGTAACTGACTAAAAATACAAGCGTGGGGCCTGACGTAAGGGACCGTGGGTAATTACAGCCAACGTTAGTTGACCGTGGACAATTAGACCAAAGCCGAAACATAACATATAAAAAGAACGTTTAAAAATATATATTGTTCATGATAGAATATAGTATTGTCATCAGTGACATAAGTATACCAAGTTTGCAGTCGATACCACATTTGGAAGTGGGTTAAAAGTGAGTTACAAGATTTGAGGATACTACAACAACAGACAGTGAGTTAAATAAAAACGTGTAAACAAAAAGTTTTTTGGCATGGTTGAGACCTTGCCTGGGTTGTATTGATGACACCCTGGGTTGTATTGATGACGCCCTGGTTTGTATTGATGATGCCCTGGGCACCCTTGCAAACGATATGTTCCATCTCGAGAGATTTATTCGGGAAGAACATTTTTACAAGTAAATCAACCAACTTCCGTATGTAC